TAAGAAACTATTTCAAAACATACATATAAACAAAAATCACTGTGTGTGTATATTATTAGTTCCAAAATTAAAAAAAAAAGGCGAGGCTTTCTACAAGACCTTGATTGACCTTGAGCTAAAACGTCCAAAAGTAACCTTTTACTGGGTCTTCTCCCTTGCTTTTACTAACAGGTTAATATTACTAAGACCATAAATCATCAGGTAACATATTTACATACCTATGCATATATGTACATATATGCAATACAAATGCAAATACAAAAGCATCAATAATCGCCTTACGATTTAGTGGCCTGCTTCTGCATTTAACTATATATTAGCGAAGTCATGCATATGTATACAAATATAAGTAGAAGTGTGTGTAATTATTTACCAAATTATATGCCTTAGCAGTTATTTATGTATGTATATGCATACATATTTGTTATGCATGTGTATTTATAATTATATGTATGTGTGCGTATCTCTCATTCGGCGTGTGCCACTAACTAATATGTGCAAATGACCTTATACCAATTAAAAGCAATTAACAAATGTCGATAGTCGATAGCCGATAGTTATAGTTGCCTCAGCAATAATTACAGCAACAACATAAACAACAACCACTAGGAAATTAACTATAAAAAAATGCTAACCAACTGACCAAACTTCGACCGCGAGCGCTACAGAAAATATGTCGTGTAACTAATTAATTATGCACATATGTATGCCGGTGGTAATGAAGCGAAGAATTTACAAAATAATAGCGGACAGAACTGGAAATTCTATGCAAGCTAAAATAACATAAACAAAACAAATTTTTTTGGTTATTTGTATAAATAATCCAATACTCGTCGTAGGTAATAAAAAGGACGTACATTATGCATTAAAATGAAAGAAAAAATTTTTGAAATATTATATATAATATATTTTGAAACAAACAAAATATTTTTAATTATATATATTTTTCAACATTTTCATTTTAAATACATTTTTTTTAATAAAATTAAAAAAGAACATTGTTTTGTTTGAGAAATACATTTTTTTCATTTCTTTTAATTTTTCACAAATTTCATTTTCAAATTTTGAAAAAAAAAATTTTTTTTATACAAGGTTTGAAAATTTAATTAAAATTTTTTTAACTAAAGAGGGGAAAGAATTTTTATATACATTTTATTTACGTTTTAACAAAAAACTCGTATAACAAAATTATTTATAAAATTAAAAATCTCAAAATTTAATTTGAGCAAATTTTAAATATTTCGACAATTTTATTTCCCAAAAAGTTAAAATAGAAAATTTTTTTTATTTAAGAAATAAAAATTGTTCTCATTTCATTTAAGTTATCACTTATTTAGTTTAAAAAAAATTTTTTATATAATATTTTTTTAATTTTAATATTTAAAATTTTAATTTAAATATTTTCAACCAAAAAGCATTTTTGATATAAATTTTAAAGACATTTTTGCCAAAAAACCTCCCATAAAAAATTATATAAAAAATAAAAATTGAAAATTGTATTTCCTATAAATTTTTCAATATTTTGCTTTCTAAAAAAATAACATCACATTTTTTAATTAAAATTCTAAAATTTTTATTAATATCTTTTAATTTCAATTACGTATTTAAAAAAAAAAAACATCTAAATTTAGTTCTTTGTAATGCTTCAAGAATTTTGCAAATTTAAATTTTTTTATGAAGAAGTATTATTTTTATAAAATTGTATATTGTTTGTAATTTTTGACTATACAATTTTTCTATTTGAAAAGTTTTATAAATTTATTTTTTATTTAAAAAATTAAATAGTAAATAATTTTATAGGTTATGAAAATCATGATATCATTATTTAAAAAAGTAATTTTTTAAATAATTTTTTATATAAATTTTTCAATAATAGAAACTTTTGGAAGTTATAGAAATTTTGAAATGTTTAAATGAGAATTTTCGCTATAAATATCTTAAGTTTTAATTTTTTTGATTATTATTTCAACCACTTTCAACCACTGTAATTATGTTAGTCACAAAAATTTATAAATTACACTCTCGAAAGCTCTTCATTAATTATTTGTTCGCCACAAGTATAATTAGCGGTAAAAATTCAGCTGCTAATCCAAAAAAGTAATCACCCGGCAACAAAAAACAATCGAACTCGATAAACGACAAAAAATTTAGTGGTTGTAAACGCATTAGTGTATGTGCCAGAATATTTGATATGCAATACTAATGCGTAATTAATTATTTTTTGCTTCCGTCAATTTACATAATTTGCGCTCTTGGCTTTTAACCTATATTCGCCAATTATAATTATCTTCCTACTAATATTTACCACTAGCTATTATCGATGTTTATCGTTGCGAGACGCTCACTAATGCTTACATAAAAGTATTCAGATAATAATGATTAATTCGACCATAAGTGGTAATAACAGTAATTAGAATAAAATCTTTTTTTTTTTATATGAAATGCATAAAATTTCGATTTCTTAAAACAGTATTCCTACAGTCCAGTTATTAGCATAATTTGGCCACGTTTCCACTGAGCAAACGTTTCCACTCAAAGCAATCGATACAAAATCTTCACTAAATACTACAAAAAAAAATCACCCACGTCGTCGATGCCATAAATAAATACGAAACGTTCACGAACTCATTATCACCATGACGACACTCATTAACATTGTGCTATAATATATCCGCAAGCAATTGCATGTATTTTTTCTCTCACACTCTCCACGTGTTTCGCTGCAAGTAATCCACGTTTAAGTATAACAAGATTGCGAAAAATCCCCACTGCGGGCACCTCGTAAATACCATTGACATGATGCTGAGGCGGCTAATGAGTGTGCACATGCGGGCAAAATGTGTGGAAGAGAGAAAAAGACAGCAGAAGCTTTGCAGTTAACGGTTAACGCCTGCGATTGCGGGACTATTTTGATTAATCACTGAGGCGCTTTGCTCTGCTAATAAGCTCATTAAAATTTCTGCGTATTGCAAACTCACAAAGCAAGCTGCACGCATTTTAAATGATACTATGATTTCTTTTTGATTACAATAATATGAGATACATTCCATGACATTGAAGGAAAAATCTAAAAAATATTTAATAAAAATTACCGATAAATGTGGCAAAATTCCCGACAAACAGCCATACTAAAAATATATGAATATATACTCAGAAAAGTTCTATAAAAACTATAGATAGACGTGTTAGACAGTTTTACAATTATTTAAAAAATCAGAGCTGTAAGAGCTTATGTTTCATCTTAACCAATCAGCTTACAGTTTTGCGCTTTTATATTTTGATATCTGAGCAGCTCTAGAAAGCTTGAGGCATGACAAAGTTTTGTAAGCGTTTAAAAAACCCGTTTTTTTCATTTGTCAAGCATGCATGTCTGTAATTCTCCATGGGTTTATTACTATAAGCTATTTGCTTAAAAGCCAGAAATAAATAGTTTTAATTCAGTTTTCTGCAGAGATAGTAGCAACGGACACATGTTGTGTGCTAGTTGCAATAATTTAGTTGGAATTTCAAACTGTCGGAGTAATCGATTAGTCTTTGCTCTTCACTTAAACAGCGCACCAATTCTTTTCTCATTTCTTCCGTGTTATTAGCACCCACCACAGCTACTTTGGCTTCCTTGCGACACAGAAAATATTGAAGTTCGCCGACTTAAATGGTTTTACCTCGTCGCATAAAAGTAAAGTAGTACAGAGCGCAAATATGTAGTAAGGCAAGTGCGCCACAAAACGAAAACGGAAGAAAATGTGCCCACTTAACTTCCGCCAACCGCCAGTCGAGCGATTTAATTATCAGCTCTTAACCACTAAGTCACTGCAACAACCAAGCTTGTGTTATAGTTGGAAACTCATGCGCTAGCACCGCTGGGCTGTGGGCGTGCAGCACTGGAGTTTTGGCGAAAAACGCCAGCTATTGACTTAATTGCCGGGCTGAGACGCCCAGCAAGCACATAAAGAGACAGGTCAATAAGCAGTTATATACAAAATACACATGCATACATATGTATGTGTGCGACATGTGCAATATGTGAACAGAGCTTAAGCGTATATTTATTAGAGGGCTTTGCGAGTGAGTGGGCGTGGCAGGAAATCAATTGTCAGCGCTGGGTGGCGACACAACAAAGCAGAGTAAATTTATTTGCTGTATTTATTGTGTTTCATTTGTGTATTTGTATTTTTTTTTGTCCTCGTGCATGAAAGTCACTGGTGCAGTGATGCATGCGGCTGCAGGATATAAATATGGTGGAAATGCAACTGATCTACTTTCTGCACTTTTATTTTCAGTTGACACGCTTCTGCTTAGCTTTGTAACGGTACAATTAGTTGCTGTTAGAAAAAAATGCTTCAGTAGAATTTTGTTGTAATAATCTCTGATTTGCTTTTAAATATATTTTTTTGCTATTTCTTGTTGCCTTTATATTTCCTTTTCATACTAATTACTATTTCCTGCAATTTTTTTCTTTGCTTGCGTATTATATTCAATATTTGTGTAAATTTTTCCGGTTTTTTAAGCTTTGGATTATTGACTTTTAAAGTGTGCTTTTGTATTATTATTATTTTAAGCTTTGAGTGACTTTTAGTGCTTATTTGCGTTTAGTTTTACTTTTATCGGTGTAATTTCATGCCAGTTGCTTCAGGGCTTTTGTTTTTTTGTGTAGTTTTTTAGAATCTATATCCAATAAAATTTTGCACAAATTTGTTTTTTTTTGAATTTTTTATAAAACATGCTATTATGGAAATATATTGTATCATTAAATACAATAAATTCTATTATTGTTCGTAATTAAAGCGTCACGCATCGCTACTCATGCTAAAAGCTACACGGTTTTGCTTAAGTAAGAAAAAAATTATTCTTAAATTTTACTTTTTACTGAAAAATATATTTTTTTATAAAATATTGATTTTTATTTAACTTCCATAATAATTTTTAAAACAAATTGCTTTACCTTCTTTTGTAAAACTATTAATTTCATACTAAAATTTGTATTGCCTCTTTAATTTCAGATTTTCCGTCGCGACCACACAAGTCATACTATATATAAATATATATGATATAATAAAGCCAAAAACTTACGGTAAGTTCAAAAAGCAAAACAAATAATTTACACATTAAAATATTTCATGAAATTTTCATACAATCACTACAAAAAAATGCCGTTGTAAATTTAAAATTCCTTCCTTTAATAAATATTATATGCAAACACAACATTTTTTACAATGAACAAATAATTTCGTTGTGAATGCCAAACATTGCGCTGCATACTTAAATAACCAACTTAAGTGTGGCAAATAAAATTGTGCTGAATTACATATGCGTTGAGCTGAATTGCTGTTTGCCCCATTTAAGCTTGCAGCAATGAGAGCAAATGCATTAATGAAGCGCCGAATGGTCTTTTTTATCTATTAACTTAAAGTAATATAGCGCTGAATTGCATACAGATTATAGCATAAGCGCTAAACTGTAAAAAACGCTAAAGTAAATCGCAAATTGGATAGACTTTGTGGGTTTGAAATCTTCGATAATGCGCTGAAGAGTTGTTTTTGATAAATATTTGCATAAATAGTGCGCTGAAAGGCGTAGATAAGTGACTGAAACGCTTTTGTGTTGGTTTTAGCACTAAAATTAAAGATTGTGTAATATATACGTGTACGCAGTAGCAATAATAATGCGCTGAATTATAGATTTAGTCAGCTGAATTGCGTTTTTATATATTTTATTGCTTTAGATAGGTATTGCAATATTGCGGCATATAATTTTTCGACTACTAATGCAATATTAATGTTTTAGAGCGCAAGTATTTAGTTATATATTTACATGATTATATGTTATTAGTGCAAATATTAGCTAAATTAGACTTGGTCTTGGCTAAATGATATTTTTTTAACAAGTAAGTACAATTTTTTAGTGTTTTTGTATAAATTCCTTAGCTGAATTGCGCTTAATACAACCATGCATAGCCATATGCTAGTTTTTTTAACAAATAAGTACGATTGTTAGTTGTTTTTGTTAAAATTATTTAGCTGAATTGCGCTGAATTCCACTAAAACTGTACTAGCTCTTTCTTACGGACGGCGCATTACAAGTTAAATGCAAGGTTTAAATTTTGATTAGCTGAATATACAGTTATATTGCGTATATATACAGATTTTTTTACTAATCTTCAAAATATTTATTTTTATCTTTACGATGATTACGTTTTTGCTCTAAATTTTAATCTGTCACATTGAACTGTCCTACTTATCTCTAGCAAAAGTCTAAGTAAGTGTTATTTGATTAGCTATCAAGGTGAAAACAACAAAGCAATCAGCTAAACTGTTTGGCGAAAGATACGGGAAAAATTTGTTTATTCGTTTAAATTTTATAACAATATTTATTTATTTTTTTAAATTTTTTTTACATTTTGACTGATGGTTCAGCTGAACATTTTAAAGAGTTTAATTTTCATTGCAAAAAACAATATTTTTTATTATAAAAAATTGTAGTTTAATTTGAAATATATTATACTTCATTTTCTTCTTTGTTTCTCAATTGAAATAATTACTTTTGGATTTCTTTGTATTTATTTTTTCTGTTTTTTTTTGTCTTTCCTGATCGCTTAACCGCATTAAGCAATTAAATAAAACGCGTTTGAGCGTTTAAAGTTGTTTTTTAACATAGAAAAAGCGTATACTTCTTGTGGCAGTTTCTTTTGTAAGTCTGTGTGGCATGCCACAAAATGTAGCACACAAAAAATACGCACATTTGTGTGTGTTCATGCTCCAAATGATGCGATTTTCACAACTTTTCCTCAACACTTTTCACTTTTGAAGTCAAGTGTGGGGAAGTAGTAACATTTTATTCAAATAAACATATACGTGCCTGCTTGCATGTATTGGTGTGCGTGCAAAAAAGTGAAAATTGCATTAATATGTTTTATTTCACAGCCTCAGCGCAAAGTAGCTAGTTATTGTAGATTTTCAAAACAAAAAATCACAAGGCTTAGCATGGCGACCACTCAGCACTACATATGTTTATGTATATATACGTATGTGTGTGTTGCGTTCTCATTACATTTAGGTTCCTGTGATTTTGCTCAACTCACTAGCTACTATTTTAATGCAACTCACTACAAAAAAGTGATAATAATATAAAAAAAAAATCGTTGCTGTGTTAAGGCAAATACGTCTCTCTCACCGCCAGCAATATTGAAATTTATGCTAAAAAATATCTGCATGCATATATTTTATATTTTTATAACATGCTTATTTATTTATGCAAAAGCATAATATATTTTATTGCAATCAACGCTGCGCTCAAACGCAATCTCGCCAATGCACTTAGCGGCAGCTTGTTAGCCACGGCTAATCAATTAAGCAGGCAGTCATGCGTGTCAGCCGACACATGCCATGCATTAGCGTTGCTATATAAAAAACAAGTATGTACATACATATAAAATGTGTGGTAAAAATAAAAACAAGCAGTTATTATTTTAAAGTATGAAAAAAATTCAATAAAAATTTCAAATGCAATTCAGCGGTATTTTTCCAGCTTCTCTTAACAAACACGTATGTTCTACTTATAGCAAGCAAAGCAATTTTTTAATTCAGCTGCTGTTTAAACAATTCAGCGAAAGTTTTTTAAGCAAAATTTATATAATTTTAACATATTTCTATTGCTTTCACAAGTGTATTGCAATTCAGCTTACATAATTCGTAAGATTGCAGTCTGTGTTGGTGCTCTAATTAAGCATAGCATTCCATAGCATAATATTTCAGTTAATGCATTGGTAAGTGAAACCACTTCTACACGGTTATACTTGTATGTTTTTTTTTTTTTAGCAGAATGATACATTTTCATGTGTATACCGTTGCAATTTAGCGGTTTTAAAGCGCTTCAGACTAACGCTGTTTGTACTTAACGTTTCGTTACAGTATTATTAAAAATTCAGCTGATTTATTTAATATAACTTGCTTTTAAATGTAGCATTCTTATATTTATCATTCTGCTGATATGCACCATTTCGATTTGCTCATATTTTTGTTTCAAATATTAATAATAGCTTGTGCATAACACACACATTTTGTTATAACTAGCTCACTAATGCTTACTGTTACGTGAAATTTTACAAACGCTCTCTAATTTATGACTTTTATTGTAATTCAGCACTTTTAAATAGAATTTAGCAGTTATTTTAAGTGATTTTATATTATAATATATAGTAATAATAATTTGTTTAGGGCATATTTTATAAATTTGCATTCAATATAAGCTTTGTTACGCACATTTCCCTGCCTCAGTTACTTTTGTAGCATTTGCGCGACTTTGAACTAATTCAGCATGGCTTTTACTTGTCAGCCGTATAATATTTGATATTTTCTAAAAGTATAATGAATCAAAATCCTAAATAAGTATTTGTAAAGTTAATTCAGCGCACTTTGTTGTGCCTTTTTGGAAGCAAATGTAATAACTCTTTCATTTCTTACATAGTTGGCGCAATTCAGCTTTATTACGACCTATTCAGCGCAAATTTTTCAATAAATTATGATAATAATTTGATGGTAGTGTGTTAATTACTTCATCTCTAATACGGCTTACACCATTCAGCTTTACTAACAGCAATTCAGCGCAAATATTTCAATAAAACCTATTAAGTAAACAATCTTTCACAAGGGAAGCTTTTGTTTACTCTTCACTTTACCTTATACGTGTAAGTAATATTCCCTATAGAGTTGAGTACTTAGTTTAAGCCACTTTAGCTTAAGGCACGACAAATATTTTATGACTTAACAGCAAAATTAACTTGGCATTTCATTTTTATTACTTCACATATTCTTATTTGTCACACTTACGGGCATATACTTGTATGTATGTCTTTTATGGCACACCTACCCATCTTTTATATGCAATACATCACTCTCTGCAGCTAATTAATAATTTTCGTATAAATTACACGAAGATATGCAACACCACAACGGTAAAAATGGCAAAGAATAATGAAAAATGTACATGTACAACCATAACAAATGCAAACTCAACGTGACAGCACTAATTTCAGTCATAATAACACAAAAAAGTCACATGAGTGACAAGTTGAGTGTCAGTGCCAAGCAAATACGCTTTTGACTAAGTAAATAAGTAAATAAATAAGTAAGTGTATAAGCACATAAATCTGCAAATAAGCAGCTGTGTATGTGTGTAAGCGGCTGCGTATGTGTGTGTGTGCACTTAAGAAGACATAATGCGAGCGTAAGGCCACAAAGCATATGCAACTGCTTACCGTTACAAGCGTAGTATATGTGTGCTGTGCATGTATGTGTAGTCGGTGTGTGTGTGTATTCATGTGAGCGTATGCAACATTACCTTCAACGACTAACGCTTGCGCTGCACATTTTCCGTTTCCATTATTGTTTATTGTGTTTTTCCAAACAATTCACTTGTAGCATACGGCCCAGCCTACGGACGGCTCTTTACTTAAACATCAGTTTCATCTTCAGGCTTTTAATTTTATTGCCATTGTTGCTATTAACGTTTTTACAACTTTACATTAGTGCATTGCTGTTGTTGCTGTTACTGTAAAGCATACATTCGGCTTAAATGGCGCACGCACACACACACATAGGCGTGCTAAGCAATTTGTAAGCGAGCGCGCTGTGTGTGTTTGTAGCATCACTTTCATCGCTTGTCTGCCACGGCAGTAGCAATAACAACAAACAATGCGTAATTACAATGCCGACGCTGCAAATCACAGTAGCGTGAAGAATTTTTTAATTATTACAAAGCGACAGCGGCAGCGCGCCCAACGAAGCCGCAACCACCTGCCATCAGCCAACGGCTGTCAGCCGCGTTGGCGCGCTCCGCTTGCTTGACTGCTACCACGCGCACTGCTTGGCTGCGTCCGCGTTCAGCATCGGCCTCTTGTAATCCCATTCAGCGCGTTTTTACTTTTTCCTTCATCGCCGTCTTTTACCATTGGCGCTGCTGCTCTGATTTGCTTTTCACATTTTTACCGCTGCTTTTGTTGTTATCTGCCCGTCTGCTGGCATTGCGACTCTTTCTTGTAGGTATAATAAAGCCACATGGTAGTTGTTTTTGCGCATTTTTGCTTTGCAAATATGTTGCAAGTGAATGTTTTCGCGTGAAGTTTACTTTCAGCGGACAGCGGCAGCGAGAGCACAGTGTAGCTGTTTCGACTTTTCATTGTAGAATGCATTATCGACTTAAATGTTCAACAAATGCTATTCAGCGCTAATTTCCTCAACAAAAATGTAGAACTAATGAAATAAGCTCATATTTGTGGTATTCAGCGCTAGTATTTACCTACACCGGCATCAATTCAGCGCTTTTTTTCTATTGACAAAAGTATAAACTAAAACTTTTCAATATTAATAGTTTCAAATTAGCGCTATTCAGCGCATTTGTGGTTTACAAAAATCCAGTTTTTACTCAAAATTTAGCATATTTGGTATGTACCTATTACTTAAATGTTATCAAATTGTATTTCACTCTAATATCTAACAATTGACAGTCTAAAGTGTATGCCATGTGCTTTTCCAGTAGTTATTTAACCAACAAAACCAATTCAGCGCTTAATTTTTTTCAACTCGACACACATCTAAATAAAATTGTTGCTGCAATGCATACATTTTTGTTATTCAGCTAATTCAGCGCAAATTTTTTTTTGCAAATTAAAACATTTGCATTAAAGGTTTAAATTTTAATATAGATGTATCGAATAGCGCTTCACCGTCTTCAATAAAATAAATATTGTCATTTAATGTCACTGTAAAGTACGCCGAGAAAGTAGCGCATGGCTTTGTAGTCATAGCCCATAGCATATAGAGAATAAGCACCACACATTAAAAAAATATAATATGTAATGCTTTGTGGACAAAAAATCGCGAATATGCTTGTACTAAATATCAAGCTTAGAATTTTTAAATCTGCTACTTATTAATTTGCAGTATGTGAAATGCCGTCATACTTCATTAAATTGCAAAAAAAAATACAAGTCATTACAACTTAGCAATGCTTGATTGAATAAAGTATTACAACGGCCAGCGTAGAAGAGTGAAAATGTTTCTTTCAATAAAAGCAATTAATCCACTATGACGGTTGGGATTTTTCTTTTTTTTTAGACGTAATGCTACACTTTCAGTAAGAAAGTGAATGTGCTGAATAGTTTAGAATTTTACAGACAATACCCACTGATAAGAATGCATAAGTTTTCGACTATTCAGCAGCTTTGAATGAAATTCAGCGCAAGAGTCATGCATTGAAGCACACAATGATACATCAAGCTACATAAATCAAGCTTTTCTATTACTTCAAACTTAATTCAGCGCTTATAATTTTTTTAAAAACATATATGATCATAAATTATCTTAAAGAACTAGTCGAAAAGCATTTTCAACTGAAAAATTGTTATTCAGCTAATATTCTAGCAACTATAGATACTACTTACTACTATTTTGACAAATGTAAATACGGACTGGTTATCATGCATAATTATTTAACGCTTCAAGAACTAATATATGAAAATTCAAGTTATTCTGGGCATATATTTTTATATAGCGCTTCGAAAAATTTATTCAGCGCAAATGTTGTAGTATAATTATGTAGTTATTTAAAATGTGTAACACCGTATGCATTTTAAATTATATTCAGCGCTTCTAAGCTCAATTCAGCGCAGGTATTTCAGCTTATTTCACTTTTTTTTCTTATTTCTAAACTATTTATTGGTAGCTATGCATATAAAGAGGCGTGCCACTGCAAAAGCATACCAGCAATTTCTATTAAGTAACCAAACCAGTCTTTAATAAACATTTGTCAGCAAATCCAGCGTCATTCTAATTTTTGTCGCAGCAAATGACAAAACAAATAGCAGCAAACGTACGCCAACAACATGATAGCAAAGAAAAAATGTTGAAGCACTAAAAAGGCGAAAAAGAAAACATTACACAAAATAGCATGAAAATCAACAGAAAAATAAAAATAGAAAAAGCAACAGCATATCATTTTGATTGGCATTTTTTGCACACTTTACTCGCTGCTACGAAATCAATATAACCAGCAAACCAAGTAAATGCCACAAAGCACAACATAACAAAGTAACCAATGAAAAGAGCAAATAACAGAGCAAAACCGGAAAATTGGAGAAAAAAAAATCGCATAATGAGCAGGTAACCGGAGCCTTTCCACCAAGCACATACCCGCATTCACAAATATGTTTGCAGCTACTTCAGCAATGTAACACAATGAAAAGTTAGTGCAACAGCAAACCAATCACAATTGTCAATTCGCTCATGTGACCATTAGTTTGGCATATTTTTATTATTACTTCGTATTGACTGCACCCAACTGCAGCCAGCGGCAGCGGCAGCCGACAGCACGAGCAGCAGCAACAAGAAATAATTTGTGGCAAACCAATGCAGCACGTCTGATTGCCACAGTGTTTCAAACAATCAATATGAGTTACAACGAGCTTTTTGCACGCTTTGCGGGCATCAATTTGCTCCCCTCCACCCACAGTTCATGCAGCTAGCATTGATGTGTTCGTCACGTGCGCTTTTTGCTGACTGCCGAGCGCATCTACCATTATTACGGTATTGCTGGTTATTTCTTGTCAGTTGAAACACTACTTTTTCCAACCAATTTTGTGGTAGCAACTTTTAGAGCAAGCAAATAGTGTTGCAATGAGCGAAGCAATGATGAATTAGGTGCTAGAAAGGGTGATTTTTGTTCTCTATTCTAATTTGCCACAGACTGTATTTGGCGAAAAAGGCTTTGGTCTACTTAGAGTTATAAATTTATGGAACTTTACAACCCATATTATTAGTTCCAAGTCTTATATCTGGCCTCCTCTCGTAAACATATTTTTGAATAGTCACATGAGCAAGGGAATTCTCTCCTGTGGGGAGTTTTAATACCAAAATCTTTGCTGCCTGACTCTTATTTTATCCCAGATCAATCGACAGTCTCTTCAACAGTCTTTCAAATAATTCATATGTAAACTCAGTCGATCCTGCTCACGTCGTGCGACTTGCTGCATTGCTAGCTGTGCACCTTCTGGGGTTCTACACTGCTTCGGGTAACCATTAGCTAGAGAACATATCAAGTCGCTTACCGGTTATCTATCGGTTACAACTGTCTGCGGTATCTTAAACAACGATTAAGTTTAGCTTCCGCGTTAAAATATCGAGCTTTTTTCGGAAATTACGCAACAATATGCAACATGCATTGCCTTATCGTTTAAAGCTCGCTACGTTGTCGTCGCTTTACTGTCTGCTCTTTGTTTCACACTGCGCTTAGCTTAAGTTTTGCGTTCTGGAATTGTTTTATTCACGATTCAGTGCGCTTTTCGGCTTTCTCTTCGTTCTTGCATTTCTGTCTTTATTCTACTTAGTTCTAAACTCATTTGTTCGTCTTTAACGCTTTTTAGCCTTCTTAGTTTGCCGTAAATCCGCCACTGCGTACAATCCCTGCGCACTTTGTGTCCTCTTAAACCTCTAGAGTTTTTTTCGCTCTTTATCACTTAATTTTGTTGCTTAAGATGTTTCCATTATTATTTCATTTGCTGCTTTGAGCTTCCTTGTTATTACTTCTACTTGTCAGTTTGATTCCTTGGACTTCTCTTCAGAATTTTTTGCTTCTATTTGTATTCTGCCTCTTCACCTCTTCCACAATTCATTTCATTAATCTTCTACGGCTCCCTTTACACCTCACTTTCTTGCCATTTGCTCAAGCTTACTATTTACCGCTCTCTTGCTGCCGCGCTGACAATCACAGGGTTGCAACGGGGCTATTGTTCGTGGCAGCAGTGTTGCAACTGAAAGCAAAAAGTACAGGCGAAATAAAAATTAATCAGCAAACGTGCCACACAAGAATGCATTACAAGCCATCAATAAAGCACCGTGTGCTCAGAGTAACGAAGCCCTACATGCAAGCCGCTACTTGTTGTTGTAAGCCGTTTGTTGTCGATTTGCAATTATTTTATTTTTTCCTGCAAATTTTGTAACCTGCCTTCAATGTAACAGCATACAATGTTGCATGACAACGACCTTTATTATACATAAGCACTAAATGCAAGAGGAGCGGAGAATGCGAGCGCAGCAAAAGTTTGCGACATTTTCTTTTTACTCAAAGCCAAATCGGTAGCGAAAAAGTGTATGGCAAAGTTTAAATGCAAACAAAGAGAAATGACAATTTAACTTTAAGACGATTGTGAAGCAAAGAAATGAGAAAGTGCAACAAAGCGAACTAAAAAAAGTCAAACTGAAAAGAGTGATTACAGCAGCGTTCTCACTCAGAAAAAGTGAAAAATTGTAGATGGAGAACGTAGGCTATAAACTATGCAAACCTGTCGCTTTGGAGTACAGTCAACGTCCACTGTCTGCTGGTTAGATGACTTAATGGCAGGTCAGTGAAGCGGGAAAATGAGCAAAGTAAAGCAAGATCTGCAAAGTATTTCGTAAAGAGAGCAACAAAAAGATTGTAATTACCGGCAGCTAGACAAATGTCTGATGGATTTGAGGTTATTTTAGAGATTACTTTTTGGCTAAAATACGCGTCTAGAAAACTGTAGATTATAGAAAGGAAACTGACTGCAGGAGAATACTAAATGACAGGCCTGCAGAGAGAAAACCGAAGCCTGGGTTTGATTGTAACGAATTGTTGTAGAAAAAAAATTCACAAAACATTGTTGCAGAACACCGCCGGGCTCCTCTTAGAGCTCCGGGTTTTCGAGAAATTATAGCCGATCTCCCTGATTTGTCATTAACTGCTTAAAGGTGCAGAAACGAGTCGACAAAACGAAGTTTCATTTGTCTTAAGGAAACTAGAAGTTCTGGGTCATGTAAAGATTCGTCTGAAAGAGAGTTTTCGCGTTGACAAAGTAGGCTCAGACAATAAAATCTTGGTGTTTATGGAGCTCAGATATATTACTCAAATCTTTAAAGCTTCTAGGGCATCCATCAACTTAACAATATTACTTGCTGAGACATGAAGAACGTGACACTTATGTACCGCGGCATTGGACTTTCCAAGCTCTATCTTTTGGCTTCTGTGATGCTAATGAGCTGATCTCCGATTGTTAGGATGAAAGCCAGCGTGTAGAAGTAGTTATCAGAAGTTGTGAGTTATACGAAGTGCAAAGTTTTGACTTCTCCATTGCTAGGTAGGCAGGGATATCGATTTGCAGAATTCCAATTACCCACTTGTTTTAAGCTTTGCAACGGAAACTCCACCACTTTAAGCCTAAGCTACATCGCTATATATACTTTTGAGCTACCGCACCCGCACGCAAAGCCTTGCCTAAATTCTGCCAGCAATCCACGGCATTGCTAAGCTCTGCATTGCACCGCAATTTGCGTAGCGCTACCGCGCTCCGCCACAAAAACCAGAACTCAATTACTTCCCAAAACACCGCAGCCATGCCGCCGCAATGTGCGCTTGGCGCTCATTAACAAATTGCACCTATCACCCACCACCAGCACCGCCAAATGGGCGTAGCCATTAGACGTTCACCAGCAATCCCACGCTGCGCCATCGTATTCTGTTACATTTGAGCCCATTCAGTGGCAATCGTGCACTTTGCACTGCGACTCGGTAAACTCCATGACAACTGCCCGGCCACTGACGTACTGTGACTGGTGCGCGGGCAGCGGCACTTTCCGCCTGTGTTTGTATGTTTGCGTTTGGTTTTGCGGTTTCGTTACATTTGCAATGCGCGAATATTTGTCGTTGACAGCATTACATACTCATATACGAATATGTGTTGCCAATGCGAGTTGTCCATCTTCCGCGGCAAATACACTGCGTCACTTACGCGCTGACAGTCTGTCAGTGACTCTGCAACGCCGCTTGGCAATGAGGCAGCAGTCACAAGCCTGTGAGAGCGCAGGGCTGTAGGAAATGCGCGTTGTTGAAAGTACAGCGCGCTGACAAATGACAGCAGACATGTCAACAACAGTTACAGAGTGAAAAGAACACGCAATAACTGCCGTTACTTATTGGAATGCGTCTGCGATGAAATGAAGCAGCACTGCAGTGAAAGTGTTCGGAAATCAATTTATAACTATTTATTTGCTGTGTGCTTTTGTTTCTCCGCTTTTGTGTGTGAATTCGCAGTGAAGCGTGTCTTCCCGCCTTGGCAAGCAATGCATTTCGTTTCGCACAGTTCGATTTTTAAATTAACCTCAATCCTTGACAACAAACGATAAGTTTGAGTTATTTATGGACACTCTGGTTGGTGCAGCCAAAAAGCAAAAACAAAAATTGAAGTATAAAAAATGAAATGCTCGAAAGTCGGAAATTGCCAGTTGCGTTGAAGAGTCAACAAGGGAAAAGTGTCAAAGCTTAAAAAATCCGCAATTTCGACTTCCTGCTGTGCTGACACACTACACTGGCACACACGCACGCGCTGTAGCTCGGCTTCTAAACGAACCACACAAATGGCGTATGCAATTTCTTGCACACACATTTATTTCCATTTTTTATATGCGCATTTTACATTTTACAATTTTATTTCGCCGCTTGTTTGAATAACAGTTGAAAGTTTTACAGAATCCCATAAAAATGTTGAAACGGAACTTTTACAGCCGCCACCGTCGCCGTCTCAACCGATGCGAGTGCAATGTCATTGCGATGCGTGGAAGTCATAAATTTGCATAAAGCATAACTTTGGCATAAAACCCGCGGTAAAAGAAAGAGCGAAGCACGGCAAGCAAGGAATGCCAGCGCCACATATGAAGCAAGAAGTAAAGGCCGAAGAGTCGGAAAGTGCAAGCGGCGCAGGTAAACGCAGTGCAACTTTGTGACAAAATCGCGCGAGCAGACAATATCTGCGTCACAGCCGAAATTGCAGTGGCAACTATTCAAGAATAAAGAAATTAAAAAGAGTAAGATATGCGCACAGTGGAAAAGAAGCGGAGTGCAACTGAAGTGTCGAAATTTATGGCGAAATTTTTAAATTACGTTAAGGGCTAGATTGTTTGAGACGAAATACCGTTACCAAACGGAAAACGGACACTAAAGAGTAAACCCTGTTTCAGCTGCGACTGCAAAGATACAAAAGGTCGATTGTTGCTGTAGCGACATAAAATATTCTCGAAATAATTTTGTAGCATACTGCTGACGTTACAGTTTTTGGCTGTATATAGAGCGGTATCTGTTACGACTGAATATACGTTACTGCTGACGAAGCAATTAGTATAAAACGTCACGGCAAAATTCTTACTACATATACGCGTCAAGCAGTACAAGCAAGAGCACAGAAAGTCAAGAAGGATCTCAACTTCATGCTGACAACATAAAATATGAGACATCAAACCCTCAAAGTTCTGAAAGCAATGTCTTCGAACTTGTCAGAACCATTACTGTAGTGTAAACGCTGAAAATACGATTGATGATAGATTTATAGTTTTACTTATCTAAGTTGCACGAAGAACTTTGTCCTTTTTCCTAGTTCTCGCCTCCATTGAACACATTGTATTCCACAAACTGGATATATTTTCTGCATATAACTCACATGTACTCGGAATATCAATATATTTTACTGCTATTGACAAGTTTCCGCCTCAAAGAACTTGCTTACAGTGAGGGTGCTCGGTATTAACATATATTTCTATACCAGCTGTCTGTAGGGAAGTCTATCCAACATCTTCTTCCAGAGAGTTTCGTTTTTGACCTTGAAGGCGAAGAGAAGCGATTGAAATTGATTACTGCTCTAATTTTGCTAATGTCGTCGAAGAGAAAGAGAGAAGCTTATTAAGAGACGCGAGGTATTTCGGTATGCTAAGTACCTTTTCTACACACATTGTGCATTTAAATATTTTTCGAGCCTAGTAAGCTGCTTCCTAAAAACCTCAATATAGAACCACTGATAAGTTTAGTGCTGTAAGAATGAAATTCTTAGAACGACTCTGCTTTGCTACTTTCTCTACTGAAGCATATACCTACTTCTGCTCTTTTGCTTGAATCAGTATTTATTTCTGCTTTTCTGGCCTCCTTATCATCTCACAACTACACTGTATGTGTCGCTATATGCTCGCAGTTATAGTATGCTCACACTTATGCTGACATTTTGACGTCACATGACAGATATGCGGTAACGTGTGACAATTTATCTTGCAGACTGTAGACACACCGAAAAAAGGTTCACTTTGTCACCAGACACACACACTTGGAGCAACCCCAAGCAGAGTTTCGTACAGTTTAGGCCAATTTGTACAAATCACCAGCAATTTATTTGCGCAATTCAAGCGAGTAACGAGGTAATCGTATATTTCTTATCAGCGCTACGCGCACATACCGCCACAAATGAGTTACGAAAAGGTCAGTGTAGCGGTCACTCAGCGCAGGAAATTACCTTCCGCAAGGCAACCCCACTATTCTAATGAATTTTCGCCTTTCTTACACCCACAATCTAACGACTTAGTTGTTTGGTTGGTCGCTATTGTCCATCCAAGTGCGTACAGTAATGTGCTTGTGAAAACAGCACTGTCAGCTGTCATACTTCTATTGTTGCATTTTGACAGCTAACAAACAAATCAACATAAATAATAACAACAAGACAGCAGAAACAGCTTATTGAAATGCAGCCATAAAAACGAGCCTAACGAAAGGGGCGACAGGAAGAAAGCACCGAAGGCTGATAAAAAATTACGTCCACGCTCGTTGCGGCCGGCCGAGTGTGCAAACAAACAAAACGCACTGGCGACCAAAACAAATAGTCACAGCTTGCCACAAAAGGCAAAAACGATAACAAAAGCTGAAAGCAAACAAGTGCGACATGTAAAAACGGTCAGCGCGGAGACGTAGACTTGTCAGCACTCATACAAAGTGGAACATTGCAGCAAAAAGCGTACAACATACAACGGAGGTCGGCGCGCATAAAGCCAAAGCGCCGATAGGCCTAAACGTTGTAAACGGCAAAGCTGTAAAAGTAGGAAAGAACGGGTGGCCAACGAAAAAGCCAAAAAAGGCGCTGAAAAAGCATGCAAGCCACGAGGCAAGCGACAACTGAGACGCTGTCAATGCGCGCCGACATGCTAAAAATGGTAATGGCTGACAGTGAGACCGGCGCGGCATATACGCAAAAAAACAGACCAGAGCGCGAACCAACTAGAGGAGAGCGACGGCATACACGGCTTGTGCGACTTGTAAGGCGCGCGACATTTATGTGCCGCTATAGCGTACAGTCAAGCCGTCATGTCTAGCGCATTTCAGCAACACAAATGTGACGAGCTCTCAGCCCACACTGGTCGTCGGATGATGGACGGCAAGCAAATGACGCTTAGATTGGCGAGCTGAGTAGGCTATACTTGGCGGAAACTGTCCCAACACATAGCCAAGCCAAAAACATAAACGACAACAGCGTGCGAGGAAAGCACCGCGTTGCCGCTGATGCTGAAAATGTAGAACGTTGTGTTGAAAATGACAAACAATACACGCGCGTGCAATGAAAAGCACATTAACAGCAATGTGGCTAAAGAAAGTGAGTACGCGCCGACTGTGCGCCGCACCACGCCCGCCATGAGTGCGAAACATGTACACATTAGCATAAGTACTCGGTATTGTGTGAGTTATATAGAGCAGGTCGAACGCCAAAGGCGCAAACCAACTGTCTGCACAGTCGACACGGCCAAGCAGATGAGGCTCGGTTGCTCTTGCGCTGCTTCTGTTTTTTGGTTAGCAGGTCAGCTACACGCTTTGTCAGCGCTTTTTCCTTACATAATGACAGCAGTGGCAATGGTAGAAAAAGCAACAAAACACTGATCCCATTCAAGCGTACAAGCGTCAACAGCCTACGGCCTATCAGTCGACGTTTGGCACACAAGTCACCCGAGCTGGCTGACTGCGGCTGTTGATGATGATGATGCTGAGAAGGCCATTTGTGCGGCGTCGTGCGGCAGTCCGCATGAATTTGGTTGTGCAAAGCGCAAGTAGATCAGGGTGCGGCGCCGTTAGATGGTGTGGTTAGGGCGAATGGAAAGTGTTTTGCAGTTTTTTCGCTTCCACATAGTTGATGCTACTTTCGCACTTGTCAAGGGCTTTTTTGTTATCATGTACGTACAACGTTTTCTTGGTATTGTTTTGCCTTGCTTTGTGCAGAGAGAGAGTTACCAACCGTCCAAGCCGAGTAGGGCTTGTACGTAGCAAATATTAGCAATTATGCGAAGAAAGTGTATAGAAAAAATATGCGAATGAGACTTTAAGTTTTAGGTCATTAGTTGAAGACTCAGAGACAAAAAAAAACTCGAGCTCGCCAGCGTCTGCCCGACATACCTTCTAAGCAACCACAGACAGCGTTGTAATTAGACGGTTTTTCTGAGCGCCGCTCGGCATACAAAACTAAAGACTTTCGCATAAAAAGCCTGTCGAGCTTCCATTACCGCCATCACCGCCAACACCTTCTCATCTCCATCGCCTTGTCATTGTCGTTTCGCTCATTAAAGTTGCCGCACTCTTCGCTATTTCGTTGTTTGGCAGAAAAGTGTCGGTTGTAACTTCGCTCAAACAAAAACAAAAGCAAAACTAACTAGAAACACCCACAATGAAGGTTATGCTACGCGCGCCTGACTCACTTAAGTGCTGGGTAATTAAGTTGTTGAGTTGATGACATTGAATATTCTTGTCTGTTTACATTTATTCGTGATTTTACTTTTCTTCGACTGCGGTTGGTAATGAGTCTTGGAAAAGGATACGCGGCAAATGTGTGTCGGAGTGGAGTAGCAAAGTTGAGCAAACAAAGTTTTTCCCCTGAGCTTGCAGTTGTTGGTCGCCGCAGAACTTTAGCAATCGTAGCAATGTTAGCTGCGTCGGTAAAGTGGAGTAGGTGTTTCCGTGAAAATTATTAAAGTTTTCTGCAATTTGCTGGTGCGCAGAAATAACTGTTCTACTTGTAGTTCTGTGGAAATACTAACTAGCTTTTTGCAACTTTCGCGAGCTTCGGCGAAGCTGCCAACTTGATATTGTTGGCTTTTTATGTTTCTTAGTCGGATTTAATGTGGTTATATGTAGGTATAACGTTTCAGTCTCTTGTGGTAGACTACTTAAAAGACGTTCCAAAAAATATTTCTTCCATAAGCCTGCTCACAACTTTGTTTACCAAACAACTGAAGTTTTGATTCCTTTGCCGCCAAACTTTAACTCAACCCTAGCGTAGTTTACAATCTGTTCGCGGCATATGTTGATTTAACCACTTACAGGTAGTTCTTCTGAAAATAAATCGTTGATTTCTTTACTCCACAGGTATCGCGAACCTGAGTTGTGGCTCATCGAGTAAGCATCCTTAAAATAAGTCGGGTTTCTTTCATTTTACAGCTGTCCAGACCTCTACTAGCATCGTTAACTCTCTCAGTGCCACATGCCAACCAAATCTGGTGCCTGCGAGATTCCTGTTTGCGAACTTTTAGCACACGGTGGGTTTTCTTAACTTTTATTGAACCACTTTGAACATATAATTTTGAAATATTTTGCTTTCTATAGTTATTCTTTAAAATTTTTCTATCGCGAGCTGATATTTTTTTCTCATTACTTCCTTTTTTAGAGTCCCAGTAGCTGCTCGCGACTTTATAGTTTTCATAATTCATATTCAGCGCATGGTTTAACACAAGCTTTGTAATTCTATTCCACCACTTAATTTATGCGTATCAACACTTCACTTTTCAGCATAATTTCTATCACAAATTTATTCATAACTATTTAATCACATTTAATTCAAATCATATACTCTTTATAACTCATAAAATTAACAAGAGTTTGCCTCAAACCAAACTCTTTTTATGGCCAACGAAAATTTAGTAATTCATAGTGAAGATTCTTGCAGCGCGGCGAAAAATGGTTATATGCGCTAAGCACAGACATATGTTGGTATGTACATTAGGGTGGAGCGAAAAAAAATTATTTTTGCTTAGTCTGAGTTTAAAATTTGTAGATTATATACAAAGAAAATGTTTGGAAAAAAAAATTTTTTAAGCATTCTAGAAGCTGTGGAGAGTCCTCTTTTGGGCGAGTTGTAAAGAGTTTAAACCAAAAAAATTGTTTTGTTTCTAAAAAAATGGTTTCGTGTTAAAACGTCGTGTTAACTTTAAAAGCCGCCTCCAGATGTTAAAAAACAATTTTTTTTTCAAAAATTTTCTTATATTATAATCAATAAAAATTTTACCCTCAGGCTAAGCAAAAAAAAAAAAATTATTTTCGTTCCACCCTCATATACATATGTGTATAATACGTAGTAAATGTGTATGTATGTATGTGTGCGCGTGTGTAATCAATTAAAATTCTACACCAAACATCGTTTTCCTCTCCGCTCTCACCTCCCCCGCTCTTCATTTCCTGTTCTGTTACACGAATTTTCGCTTTTATATGCACTCGTGTTTGTGTGTGTATATGTGCGCGCTATCGTCTATTTTCCGCCGCAAAAAATCATATCAAATCCATAATTCATGCAGAAATCGAACAGTGACAGCGCCATAAATTTTTGAATTTTTTCGGGGTTTGACAATGAAAAAGCAAAAACAACAAACACATACATATGTGACAGGCATAGCACACCGTAAAATGAGTGCCGTATTTGTAATTGTTGTTGCACGTGTTGTCGTTTTTTCTACATCTAACTGCCAGCCATGCACAACCTGTTTTAGTCGCACACACTCGCACACACACTTGCTCAAATTGCAATTTTATTTCCATCCTACTGAGCGCAAAAGGGATATGTGCTGCCTTGTATTCCATCTACAAGTGTCTGCAGACAGAGCACCTGTTTTTCGAAAATTTACTTTTGCCAAAGTTTTTCGGTTCACATTTTGTTTTCATAGTGTTTGGGCCAAATTAAAACTCACTTACCTTAATGGCGAATCTGTGTAAAGGATATGTGAGAGTGAGATACACGCGCCAAAGCGAAAAGCTTGATATGCGTAGAAGGTAAAAGAAATGGACTCAACACGGCGGCGTTGAAAGAAAAAAGCTCCGTAGGGTTTAAATTGATGAAACTCTGAAACTACGAATCCTGTCAAGAAAGCTTACGAAACATTCTTTTTAATCAAATAGACCCAAAAGTTGTAGAAATGTAAGAGAAGCTTAGTAAAAACTTAACTTTTAAAGAATGCTCGCGCAACGCAAGCAGTTAAAAGCGTGAAAATTTCAAATAAAAAAAGTGTAGAGTGTTGCAAAGCTCACTGAACTTTTATGAAGCTTTTTGGAGGTCACTTAGTACTCTCGAATTTCATTAGCTTCTTCCTATGCAATTTCCGCTGCCAGTTGCGTGCAGAAACCACTGTCAAAAGCTTGCCAAACCGCAATAATTTTAAATTTATTTAATTAGAGCTTTTTTCGTAAAAGTTACGTTAAAGCTTTAAAATATTTTTCTAAACTTTTTTAGTGAAAGCTCTAGCGAATCAGTGCAAGAGTTGATAGTAAAAAGTAGGCTTGCATATTTTTTCAATAATCTCGTATGACTTCGTAACAAAAAGCTCAGTTTACAGTAAAGCTCTCTGAGCGATCAGCTTTGGAACGAAATTTCTGTCAGATCTACATGGAAAGAGCACATTTCAATGTCTTGTGAATTTTTAGTGGGATAACTGGCGGTTTCGCGAGGTCGGTAACTGAAAGCTGCCTCGGTTACATGATACAATGACTTATGGAATATTATGAAAGGGAACGTCCTCATATTTTTCGTACGCTTAAGTATAAAGAGCTATAATTTCCGACACGAAATTTGGTTTTGTTCTGCTTCATCGCTTAAAGCTCTCAGCTCAAGTTAACTTAAGTGTTTGAAGCTTACTTATACATTTCTTTTAGAGCCACACATATATGAAAAGAAAGTAAAATTCGTTTAACGGCATAAATATGTGATTTCACAAGACATTAACTGTATATTTTTGTTTTTCTTTCCGCTGCAAGCTGCTCAAAAGCACACAAAGCCATTAACACACATACACACATACACACTTGAAAGCTGTCGCTCTCCCGTTTGAAAACTGCATTTGCTCCTTAAAAGTAGACACACATACATAGGCAAACATATACATATGTAAGTAAAGTGAGCACATATGCACTTTGACCTAATGTGTTTAACCTATTAACGTCGTTTATGACCGAAAAGGAGTATAAACAAGAAGTAAGAGCACGCAAATATATTATATTTTACGCGCAAAGCAGCAGCGCAGGAGAGGGGGGCAAACGAAATTGATGCAGGAAAGTGATATGTGTAGAGAGTGTGGTGCATGCAGCATGCCACATATGTATATATACCCGTACAAGCGTACATGTGGTATATGTGTGTCTCGTTTAAAGCGCTTGCAGATTTCGGTCGAAACGACGACAAACTACGAATGGAACCATAACATAAATAGCTGAGCGCTTTAAAGCATATTGCTCGAGTTATGTGCTTTTCAGCTACGCATATGGCAGGCATGAGTGCGAATTTTATATGTGTGTGTGTGTTTGTGTGTGTCATAGAGCAAAACTCTGTCTCACTGTAGTTTGCTTGTCCTTTTCCTTCTCCAGCTCCCCTCAAAGTTATCAAATTTCTTGTTTGCACACATATATATTTCATTTGCAAAGATTTACCGTTACTTTCTTCAATGCATTCATTACAGTTTGTGGTGCACACACATCAAATATGCTTGTAAACTTTTGATTATTCAACTATGTGTGTGCGTATGCATGTATGTGTGTGTGAAGGATTGTCGGTAGTTAGAGATGAGCAAATAGCTGGGCTGTTTTGAAATAAAATTCCTATTGATTACATTTCAAATTGATTGATTTTTAATTGATGCCAATGGTGAAGCAGATCCACATACACACACACACACAGAGAGATATCGACGTATTAAATATTAAGTGATTACATATGTACATATACATATGTACATAAACATTTTTATATATGTATATGTATGCATACACTTTTACATACATACATATATGTATATACATATATATACGCACTACATAAAAGTCTGTCGTTGCGTGTCACGCTTGATCGCTCGGCTGGTTCACAAATCAGTGATTCGATTTGTTGGTTTTCTAAAGGATTTTCTTTAATTAAAACCGAATTTAAGAGCATGCTGGTCGCATGAAAATTTATCGAATCACTTAAACTTATTATTAGTGTGCAGCAAGCGGGAAACGATAACGGTAGTTGGCTTGTACTAAAAATTGCAGCATTGAACGAAATGTTAGAAGCGAGAAATAACGTTAGTTAAGTCATTAATAATATTTAGTTGCCACATGTTTGCGGTCGAGTTATTTTCTTAATATTTTTTATAAAATTGATTTTTCGTTTTTATTTGGAAAGAGAAATATTTATAATTATTATTTGTTATGCCAATTTGACCATTGAACAGAAAAATTTATTATGAATAATATATAAATGAAAACAAGCTTTTCGAAATAGTTTTTTTTTACATATTTTTTTTTTTATTCAAAACAATTTTTTTTTCTATTAAAACTTTTTTTTTGCTTGACAAATAATGTCATCATAAATGTAAATTATATTAAATTATAATTAGAAATTTTATATTTTATAATTTTTATTTATAATGTTTGTTTTTTTTTCAATACAGTTTTGTTTTCTAATAAATTTTTTTTTTTAATAAAATTTGTTTTCTAATATTTTTTTTTTCGTTTGGCAAATTTTTTGTCATCAAAAATTAAATTAATTTTGAAAACTACCGTAATTTTTTACGACATGAAATACTATTTTATTTCTTATTTTTTACAAAAAGAAAAAATTCAAATTCGAAAAAAAAATTTCCCATTAAATATTTTAATTAAATTTTTTACAAAATTTATTTTTAAATTCTATTTTGATGAATGTTTTTTTTTTTTGTTATAACAATTCGGCTATAAAATTTCAGCATAAGTAATATATACATACATATGTATGTATAATTAGCAACAAATGTTACTATAATTCGTTTTCATACATTTACATTCGTGTAATTTTGTTTTCAATATATTTTTTCGAATAAAATTTGACAAATTTTGTCGTCATGTTTGAACGAAAATTTGAAAACTCCTGTAACTTTTTTTTATAATCCTTATTGATAGGTCTAATTTTTTTTAAATATATTTTTTCGAATAAAATTTTTTTTCGTTTGGCAAATTTTGTGGTAATAAAAAAAATAAAACTTTTAAAATAAATTTTGAAAGCTACGTTAAGTTTTTTAATGGTATTTTATTAACCAAAAAAATTTTTTTTAAGTAAATTTAAAATTTTTTTTCTAATACAATATAAAAAAATAAAAAAAAAAAGTTTTTACTGAAATCTTACTTTTAACAAAAAAAAATTAAATTCAAAGTAAATATTTGTTCAGAAAAATTTTTTAATTTTTTTTTGAGTTTATTTTATTAATTAAAAAAATAAATAATTAAATAATTTAAAATTCGAAATAAAGATTTGTACATATAATTTTCTATTTTGCTTTTTTGTTTTTGTTTATAAAAAAAAATTTTTTTTTAAATAAAAAAATATATCAAAAATATGTTAGTAAAATTAAAAGTCAAAGTAAAGCTTTTTGCATATAATTTTCTAATTTTGTTTTTTATTATTATAAAAAATATTAATTCTTGAAATAAATAATATTTAACAAAAATAAATTCATTACAAAACATAAGTAAAAAAAATTTCTCAACAACTTAATTACTTTCTTGTCAAAATGTTGTCAACATCTACTCACTTGTTGTTGCAACAACTTAAAAAAAATACATAATTAATTTCAAGCTTCACAAAAAATTGAAACGTTACAACAACAGTACCAACAGTAACACTTTCAGCTTCTGCTGAGTGACAAATTGTGGATTTTGTAATTAAAATTAATTAAAACCACACTAAAGCCACATTACAAACTGTCACATCAATCAAAGCAAATGGAAATGTTCAAAACACAAAAGAGCGCGCGCCAGCGTAATTGAGTCATAAACAAGCACATGAGCGAGCGGTGTGCGCTGGAGAATTCTTAAGAAGCACAGCGCGCTGTCGGCGTTTGCTGCAATGTGCAACAAAACTGAAATGTCAAAATCTACTTTCAAATATGCAATTTAGAAAATGCGTAGGGGATGGAAGAGTGGTAAATGCATGGGCACGTACAGTTCTCGTGAATGCATTGCGCCTGAGGTAAACGGAAGTTCCTTTTTTTTTATTTGAAACTTCTGACAAGCTGCTAAATGACAAATGCATTTCGCACAGAAGTTATAGATATAGGGAAAGTCAAAACATCTAAATAATTAAAAAGAAAATCGAAAAATAAATTATGTTTAGAAAATTTGAAAAAATTAAAAAAAAATTTTTTGTATATTGTTTTTGTTTTTAATTAAATGTTTATATGTTTCAAAATGCATTTCAAAATTATTTAAAAATAAAAAAAATTGCTTTTTGAAACATATACAAGTTTTTTTTTATTTTGCTTGGTATTTGAAAATATTTGAATTTGATTTTGATACATTTTAGAAATTTTTTAATAATTTATATCAATATTTTTAATAACCTTTTAATGTTTAAATATTTTTGATAAAATAATATTTTAAATATTTGTGTTTTACTCTGTTAAAATTTTTTTTTTAATTCATTTTCAAAATGTTTAGATATTTTATTAGATAATTTATTTATTTTTTATTAATTATGAATGCTTTTAAAATTTATAACATACAATTTTTATATTTTGTTTTAATTTTTTTAAATTAAACTTTTTTTTTTAATATTTTGACATTTAAAAAATATTTTTTTTATATATTTTTTAGTTTATTTTTTTTATTTAAACTTTTTTTTTTAATTCCATTTATTTTTTTTAAATAATATAACTCGCCAATTTTAATAAATTTTTAATATATTTGTTACTTTAATAGATCATAGTTTTGAAAAAAAAATTTACAAAATTTTTAAAATTATTTTTAAAATTCAATTTCCACAATCTAATTCCCTTTAACAACTCAAATCATAAGCCATTCACTTCCGCTGCTTAATATGTTGACTCACACCTTACGCTTGCAACCAGCTCACTTTTGGGTAGCTCGTCAATACTTTGGAATGCAGTTCAATTTTGTACACTCAGTTACCTGCTTTATTTTGCCAATGGTCAGCATTGAATGATCACGTATGCATATAAAACACTTTGGCAGCGAATAAAGTAAAAAAACAGCAACAAAAAAGTTGCTGAATTTCAAGCCTTTTATAGCGTCGATTAATTGCCGCTACGCCCAACGCAGCGTGCTACAGTCAAGGTGTTTGTTTGATCAGCGGCTGTGTATGTGTGTGATTGGATTCTGCTAGGTGTTTGAGCATAAAAAATGTGCACCGCAAATTCAAGAGCGAAATGTTGATTGCTACTGGTGGTGAATTGGTTTTAATTATATATCAATTATTAAATAAAATTTTTTTTTTGTAAATTATATATATATTTTTTTTGGGAAATATTAATATTATTTTGAAAAGTTTTAATTTTTTTAAGTCAAATTAAATAAAGTTTTTTTTACAAAAAACTAATAAGTTCGAAAGTTTTTTTTTTGGAAAAGTATATTTTTTTGAAAATTTATTTTTGAAGAATTTCAACTGTTTTATAAAAATTTATATTAACTTTTCAATTCAAGTAAATTCTAATATTGATTGAATTTTTTGGTTCACTTTTTAATTAAATGTGGCTCTTAATTCCACCAAAATTTCAGTCTGCCGAAATGCTGCTCGTGCTGCCTTTTTTTACTTACGTAAGTTGTTGTTTAACTTTAAATGGTGAGCAAACATTTCAAGTGCTGCATAATTTTATTTGTCTAGTTATTTTCTTAACTTAGCGTATATTATTTCGTCATTTTAATTGTTTTTTTTTCAATTTTGGTTTTTTGCATTACTTCTTCGGTTCAAGTACGCCGACCTTGAAAGTCACCAGTTGCCATTGACGGTTGTGGAGGGCGTTACATAGATTTTAGACTGATAGCAAAAGCAAATAAAATCGCTCCCATATAAGTCAGCATCGCAAAAATGGACTAAGCAAAAAAACTAAATAAGAAATAACGAAATATAAAATAAAACTGCAAGTCGCTGTTATTTTAACCGCATAAAGTGATTTCGATGCCTGTTTGAGTTTAAAAATTTTAGATGAGGTTATTGGAGCAGCAAGTGGAACTTCATGGGCAGTGCTGCCGCTTTTGTTGTTCTGTTTGAATATTGAGTTTCTAGTCAAATCGATGCAATGCATATATTTTATGCGAAAATTCTGAGGTTAGTTTCTCTATTAAAGCTGAGAGTTTTAAAAATAAAATATTTCCAGAAAATAAAAAATTTCAAAACACAGCAAAAAATTTAAAAGAAATTAATATAATTAAAAAAAAATGTATCTTATATACTTTGGCTAAGTGTTAAAAATATATTATAAATAAACATGCTTTTTTAAAATGATTTTGAGAGATTGTAACTAATTTAATTGTTTTTTAATTTTTTACAGTTCAAAAAAGTCACAATATGTAAGTATTTGGAAATATATTTTTAAGAAGATTGCTGTATTTTAATTATCAAATTTTTTCACGTAAACTTTTTTTAAAATTTTTTTATAATTTTCAAAATGTGCAAGTTATCACAAAAAAATTAAATGCTATATTTTAACTATTAAAAATTAATAAAAAAAAAATTCAGAATTTGCATATTTTTCATTTTTTTTTTGTTTTTAATTTTCAAAACTCGCTAAATGGTAAAAAAATTATGGTATGTATATTTTAATTATTAATATTTATTTTTAACTTTTTTTTTCAAAATTTGATTTATTTTTACTTTTAAAAAAATCGTTAAATATTAAATAAAAAATGGAATGCATATTTTAATTAATTAAAAAAAAATTATAAGAATTCTGATATCTTCCAAATTTGTTAATTTTCAAAACTCGCTAAATGGTAAAATATCAACAAAATTTTTTAGATTTTTTGTTTTGTTTTAAAAGTCCTAAATATTAAAAACAAAAATTAATGCTATATTTTAATCTAAAAATTTCTTTCAATTTATTTTTATCAGAATTTGCATATTTGGCAATTTTTTCAATGTTAGAAACTCATTCTTCCTCTAAATAGTAAAAAAAAACAACATAGTTTGCTATATTTTAATTATATATATTTTATACAATTTTTTATTAATATTTGTATGATCTTCAAATATTTTTTATTTCAAAACTTGCTAAATGTACAAAAACCATTAGATTTTAGTTTACTTTCAATTTATATTACATTATTTTAATTTTCAAAACTCATTCAAGAGTAACAAAAATGAGAAAATGCTATATTTTAATTATTACAATTTTTGTTTGCAAAATTTTATTTTACAATTTTTTTAATTTCAAAATGCTAAATATTACTCAAATAAATTTCAAATAATATTTACTATAGCAACAGTAGTTTTGTGCAACAGCTTTGACAGCTAATACTCCTATATAATATTTTCTACCGAACTGCCAACCAGTGTTGCCATATTATCACACGCTTCGTGCCTGTTGGCATTATTATGCCATTGATGTCACTTTTCGCTTCTAATACACATTTAATTACGCAAAATTGCGACATAAATCTGCGCTAAATGCGAGTGAGGCATGCAACCTGCCTGAATATATAATTTTAAATCCAAAGTAATTGAACTGTAGGACACCAGACAAATTAGCACACAAATTACGCAAAATACTAGTACCAAACTACAGAAAAGAGAAGAATAAATGCGAACATGCGTAGCACTTGTAGACGCCACATACTTAGTTACAAACTATTGTCCTTTTTGTTGTAAGCGCCGAAAAAATTTCGTTTATTTGAACTTTGTGATTTTGATTATGCAAATTGCCAATGCATGTCAGGCGGACATAAAACGGTAAACGCACAAGTGCCAGTGTCAAGCCGAAGTAAGTTGTCACAATGAGTGCGAAAGTAAGCAACAAAAAAAAAAAAAACGTTAGAAAGTATGAATAACAGTAACGAACGGAAGACAGTCAGATTGTATAAAAAAGCGCACAGTTGCAAAATAATCCATAAAAGTGCTGTGCAAAACATATTTTTCGCTTTCGAGTAATGACAGTAATCCATTATCTACGCGCGGCAGCCACCTGCAAGGCAGAAAAAGGAAAAATTCAAGCGCTGACCGCTTGACAAACGCACAAGAAGCGAACGAACGATTTTTCTGCACTCTTCCTGCGAAAGTGGCAAAAACTGACAGCTTTATTACAAGCTAGTCAAGAAATATTCAATAAGGCGACAATTTTCTGCTGTCACCTTGCCAACCTCCCCTGCGCGCGTGCTAAGTTGACATACCCAAAATTCTGGCTTACTTCTTTATGGCGATTTTTCAACTTTTCATTTAAGTAGTTTGTTTTTGCTTTTTGCGTAATCCAGGGACAGCGAGTGTGCTCATTTATCATTGCGTCCATTTGTGTCTAAACAAAACACAAAACACAAAACAAAATAAAAAAATGGGACAAAATTTGCAATTTGCGCCGGAATCGTTAAAATTATATGAAATGGTTCAATATTGCGTTGACAGGCAGCAAATGGAAAATGTCAGAATTTGACAGTTACTATTTTTAATTTTAATAAGCTCTCGTACCTTTCAGTGGAGAGACGAGGAAGCGGTTTAATATTGTAATAAATTAGTACATTTAGTGAAAAATTTTGAATTTTGTACTTAACTTAAAATTAAAAAACAATTTTCCATCCTAAAATATATTTAAATTTTTATATAATATTTTCAAAATAAACAATTTTTTAATTATATATATAATTAAAATTTGATAGCTTATTAAAACAGTCGTAAATATAATGACAAACCACGAAAATCAAATAAAATTTTTGTTTTAAATTTTATAGAAGAATCCGCATAATTTTATTTTAGAAAAATTTGAAATTTATTAAATAAATTTGAAATTTTAATTAAATGTACCAGAAAAATGGTATGAAAGTCAAGTCCTAATTTTTCTCTTTAATATTTACCTAATATCTTCCTGTTAGCTTGTAAATAAATAAAATAAAATAAATAAAAAATAAAAATATTAAAGAAAATGTTTCTCGTTATATATATGTATATCAAAATTTTTCTAAAATCTTTCTGAACCAGTGAAATCTGAAAATTTACGAATTCATGTTTAAATAATTCCGCCATTCAAAATATGTATATGTTACTTTCTTGTATTAAATATCGAAAATGTTTGCCGAATTTTTAACAATTTCAAGAACTATTAATATATTTATAAAAATTAATTTTAATTTTATGTTAATTTTATCGTTTTGTCCCTAAAATTTTTCAAATTTCAACAACAACAAAGTATTTTTTTGTTAAGTAGTTTGTTTTTTCCTTTTTCGGAAATTTAAAAGCTTTCAATGATTTTTTTTGTAATTTTTTTTTCTTTATATATTTATTTTAACATTTTGCAGAAAATTTTCAAATTCAACAACTTTCCCAGATTAAATTTAAAGAAACTGTTTTAGAAAAAGCTTTCAAGATTTTTTTTTTAATTTTATTTAATATATTTCTTATTTTTCGAATAAATTTATCAACTTTTCTATTAAATTTTAAAATTACATATTATTCATAAAATTTGAAAATTTCAAACTTCAAAATTTTAAAAATTACTTAATTTTTCGAAAATTTTAGATTCAACAACTTTTTCTATTAAATTTTTAAAGATATCTATTTTCATAAATGAAAATTCAAACTTCAAAAATTTTTTAAAAGAATTTTTACCTTATATATTTGTTACATTTTTCGGTAAGTTTTTCAGATTTCAACAACTTTTTCATATTAAATTTTTAAGAAAGTTTTGAAAATTTGCAAAACTGCCACTGATATTTTTGAAAAAATGTTCTATATATTTCGCTCTTTTTCTCCAAAATTTTTAAATTTCAAAGTCTTTTCTTGTAATTTTAAAATATTCAAAATAAATTTCAAATTAATAATTTTACACTACTTTATTAATTTTTAAAATATTTTCCGAAATTGTTTGAAATATTTTATTTTTTTAATTAGTTTTTATATGCCTTAATAATATTTTGAAAGATTAGATATTCAACCTGCCAAACCGTAACTTCAAGTGCCCTTCACTATTCCTAAACCGCTCAACCATCTCCCTCTTAAAGAACACTTTTATTCCACTCACAAACGCTTTCCAAAGATAAAATCATAGTATTTAAGATGATAGGTCTTTACAATAATAAACGGTGAATCACGTGACAAAGACAACGCGTGAGCGCGCCGTAATTGACATTATAAACAACAACAACAAGTGGGCAACAAAAGCGTGTGAATGCGGCGGCAAGCTTGAAAGCGAAGCTCCGGCCAGTCAGCTTGACGCGCCGCGCAAACAATTTACGCTAGCTGAAAAGAACACGCTTTAAAGTTACAGCATTTTCATGCAGAACAAATAGACGAATTTACACAGAAAACCAAGAAAAAAATGTGAAAAGATCAAACATCAACCTAAAGCATGGGGAAGAGTGAGGGAGGCTGTGGAGGCCGTTAAGCTTACAGAAATTAAAGAATAATATAATTTTAACTCAATTGCGAGCGTTGTGAAGACGCAGTCAGCTGCCTAGCAACACACCGCACACACACACACACATGTGACATGTGCATAAATGCCTTGCAACAAACAAAAGTCGATCAAGTTTGATTTCTGGGTCATGCGGCAATAAGCAAACAAATAAAAGCTATGAAGAAGAAAGAAGATGTTGTAGAAAAATACACACGCGCGCACATACAAGCAATAATCCGCAGAACAATTGAACATTGTAACATAATGAAATCTTCACGCTGGCAAGAGCGAGCGGAGAAGAGTGACGAAGAGTCGAAGTGCTCGAGAGTGGGTTAAAAGTAAGCATATAAGTGTCTCAAGTGCTTGAGGAAAATGTATTTATTTGTGTCGATCTGAAGCGCACGCACACACACACAACACACACAAATCAAATACAAATTCAAGAAACAGCATAATGAAAAGTGGTATGAAGTTAAGTGAAGCGTAGACGGCACAACATTCAAGTGGAATGAAAACAGATTTGAAGTGCTCGTATTGCTTGAAAAGCTGCCAAAGCAAGCGCATGAAGCGTATCGTTGGCAACATAAGTGTGTGAGTTCAATTGATGAGTGTTGATCTCTTCTTTT